TGGGCAGAATTGCTGCACGTTGCTAACTTCTTGGCCTGAGGCGCGAACTCGGGGAGAAGAGGCGAAAATAAGCGGGCTCCCTTCTTGAAAGACGCACCGATTTTCTCCCGTGGGGGGGGGCGGGGAGGGCGCGGGGGCTTGCTTGTTTGGGAAGGGACTGTGTTGCTTCTTTGTCGGCGTTTCAAAGGGACCCGGGATGGGCAGAAAAGGCTCCCGCTGCCTCCCCCCCCTTCCTTCTCCTCGCGGGGGCTGCGGGGTGTATGTGTGCGTGTGTCTGGGGGGGGGGGTGTTGAGCATAGCCAGAGGCCAGCAGACCTGGAGGAAACGGGTGGGAGAGCGACTGCGCTCGGACGCTGAAAGTTGTGCTCCTTTCCCCTCCTCCCCCCCCGCCTTCCCGGGAATGTGTGTGTGTGTGTGTGCGTGTGTGCTTAAGGAGAGCCCCATTTCCTGCAAGTTACCTGGCTGACCTCACCCAGAAAGCAAGAAAGCAAGCAAGACGGAAGGGGTCTGCTGGGCGGGGTGGGGAGAGAGCGGCCTTGGGGATCAGGAGGAAACATTAGGGCTCGGTTCAACAAGCCTTGCGATTGTTTGGAGGGCTTGCATTCAAGCGGCCCTATTAACATCTGACCTTGCACCGTGGCGGACCGACTGACTGCTGTTGCCGCTGCTGAACCGTTGCCAAATCGGCATCTCGCTCGTTTCTGTGCTCCCAACAGCGGCAAGATTTATGGGAGCGCTTTGGAGGGAGGAAGTGGGGAGCCTGCTGAATGAATACGAGACGCTGGTGGTGGACTTTTAACAGTCCTTGCAAAAGCAATTGCCCGATCTTGCATTTTATGTCCCAAATGTGGATTTGTGGCACTCTCTCTTCAGCTCAGGAGGGGACGACGAGAAATAGGGCTTACTCGGTAGATTTTGCTCCCCCCCTCCCCATGAAATGAAATGGTGTGTGTTTGTGGGAAGACTGCGCGAGACTTAGACTCCCCCTTTGATACCAGAGCTAAATCACTATATGGCCTTCCCCTGTCCCCTGCCTTGTTCTTTCTGCATCTCTACTATGGTCCTCACATTCTTGTTGCTTCGATTGTCTAGTAAAGGCAGGGATAGGAAAACACTCTTCTTCCCTTTTGCTTGAGTCATGCTTTATCACTGCAGCAGGCAAGTCTGGCAAGTAGCCAGTGACTCTTCCATCTAATTATTCCCCCCCCTTACCTTTTCTTTTAAGAAATGTCTTCCTCCCAGTGGAGGAATAGGGGGCCAGCCATCCTGATTTAGAAGAGGGCTAGCTGCATGTTTAAAAGAATGGTTCTTCCTTTTGTTGCAGGCTCTAATCCATTTACATCTCCCCAGGAGGTGACAGATGCCTAGATTTCCTGTTATTCAGCTCTGGGGTCCCATGGTTTTGCCATTTGTTGCTTTATCATGGGGGAGGGGGGAGAGAGATAATACTCCTGCCTTTATTGTAGGGGCAGCCTTATGGCTGCTTTGAAGGACTGGAGTGAGGTGGAGGCAAACCTTTAGACTAGAGGTCAAACGAATTGTAGATACTTTGCAGCATGTCTGATCTGGTTTATTTCCAAGGGGCTTCAGTTTCTTTGGGTGCTGTGGCTTTACAGATGTTTGTGTGGGAAACAGAGCAAAATACTCCCAAGTCCTGGGGAAATAACTGCAGAATTACGGAGGACTGTGTATGCAGACTCTGTGAAAAGACTTGAAGACTGCCAGAGTGAGACTGATAAGTTCACTCTGTTTGCAGACCTTCCCTTCCCCCAACCTCAGAGTGAGATTTAACTTCCCAGCGCAGCCCCCTTTCCTTTCCTTTCACAGCTGGATTTGCTTTAAAGAGACCAGTAGGGAAGTGCTGAGAAGAGTCTCCCGCCTTCCCACATCTTACTGCAAGAAATTTTCTCCTTCCTTCCTTTGGTGGATGGCAGACATTTCTAAATTTCCTTCAGTCAAGTGTTACAATGGAGCCCTGTTCTTTTTCACAAAAATTGCTTTTACTCTGATAACATCGCAGACCTCAGTGGTATTATGAATAAATAACTTCATTTCTCTTTTCCTTATGGAGAAGGAGAAATTATTTAAAGTTTTAAAACTTCTCTGTCTTTCCTCTCTGTGGAAGGTCTCCTATCAGTACTACCTTGTATCTGTCTCCTCAGAAGTAAGTCCCATTGGTTTTGCTGGACTTAAACTCTCAGATAAGTGCGCAGTGATTAGTCAATGTGAGGTTCTGCACAGAGTGACTGACTAGGACTCACGAGATCTGGATGTGAATGCTTGATCAGCCATGGAAACCCATGGGGAGGAACGGGTAAAACCACTCCTTCGATATCTCATTTACCCAGGACACCTGTTCAAGTCTTTGTAAGTTGATTCCGACTGGATGGCAACAAATGTTTACAGGATTGCATCTTAAAACACAAGTTTCTTTTTACTATGGAAATAGCTGTGCATGATTGAACTCTGCAAAAAAAAAAACACTGCAGACGATTCCTGATAGACATGGCATATTTGCAGTCTTCTCTGTACTGTATTTTATAAAGCCTCTGCATGGGGTATGCTAGGGCTTTGTGCTCCCAAGGGACAAAAATGCCTGCCAACCCGTTAATGCGTATCATGGGACATATCCACATACTGTATGTTTGTGGCTTACTTTGATAGCTTGCTGTGAACATCAGTGTCTCAGAATTTGAGGGCAGATGCAGTAAGAGTTACCAGCTATGTCACATGATGAGGCATAGTGATCCAGAAAGGTGGTGGGAAGAATTGCACAACATCTCCAGGGACAGCCACCCTGTGTGTTTGTCCTAAGACAGATGGCCTTCTAGCTGTGACTTCTGAACTCCTCGGCTTGGGGTTGGGAAAGGAGACACCTAGGGATCACGTGGGTGGGGCATTCTTCAGACTTTTAGCTCAGCCTAGGTTTAACTTTAGAAAAAGTGGTGTTGTTTTATTTGGTTTTCTTTCCTGTTAAGGTTTTTTTGTTAGGCCCAAGTGCGGATTATTGGCAGAGTATTTAGTTTTATTGTGTTTGGGCTATTTACATGTTGTTCTGTTGAGTTATCTGAATATTATTCTGTATTGTGTAATTTTCTGTGATTATAAACTGCTTTACTAGGGGAGAGTAACATATAAATAAACATGGTGATGATGATTCTCTGATTGCTTTTTCCTCATCTTTCAAGTGGGTTCATTTGTGCAGATGGGGCTTCACTCAATCAAGTTTTTGTTTCTGTTTTGCACTCTCTGGTAAATATAGTAAACGTGCACAGTGGTCTTTGTTATTGTCTTAATGATGTAAGCCACTATGGGCCCTTCTTAAGGAGAAAAGTGAGGTATAAACAAACAAATAAACAAATCAATAAATGGTCTTGTAGTATTGAGAAGATTAGGATGAAAATGGGGCCAATGTTAGACGAATCCCTAGCATCTTCCCAGTAGTGCAGTAGCACAAATCATAGTCACTCAGAACTATAGCTGTGACCCTATACAGTACTATTCTGCAGGTGAATACATGTGCCTGTTATGACACATTTCAGCCCATGCAAACAGATTTTCATGGGCTGAACTGTATCATAACTGCACTTAATAAAAGCTGTGGAATCATCACTGGATGCCTGAAGCCAACCTGTACTGATAAAATTGATTACCCAGCAGGCATTGCTCCCAGGTTATATGGAGGAAGGCAGCTGCCAGTACAAGACAACCCAGCAGGCATTGCTCCCAGGTTATATGAAGGTAGCAGCTGCTGGTACAAGACTCAAAGCATATAGTACATCAAATCCACATCCATTCTTCAGTTACCATTCTACCTCTCCCTGATTAAAAACCAATGAAAAGT